AAGAAACAATATTCATTAAAAGAAGTTACCAGATCGCCGATAAAAAATATATCAAACATCTACACAAATCAAGATACAAATAATATACAATATCAAAAAAATTTCATTCCAAACATTAATTGAATATATTCTAGCCAACGCTGGATTGCTCAATACTACATGTAATAACTACATTCGTTAGCTAAAAGACCATACCCCGAACTATGATTTGAACTATAATTTAAACAAAATTAAAATGCGGCTTCGCTCTTGTGGTGGAACGCTACGGTCCAATAATCATAAAGTCAAACCTGTCCTGGTTTAAACCTCGATTTTACAAGTCTATCCTAATTGGTTTTTAAGTTCATCATCGGGATTTCCGAGATCGCAATCATATTGAATTGTTTGATTCTGATATATCTTCATTTCCTTTGTTTATCCGAACTACTTGAACATAATATTTATTAGCTTGATAGGGACTAGATTATAGAAACGTTGAGAAATACAAACCTTCCTGATTCACATTTGGTAATAGTTTGTCGTATAAACGGCCAAGGAATATCTATTAATATTCTGCTGTAATTATACTATTTGAGCATCTTGATTATCTTATTGATTTATAATATTATTTAAATTCTATTATAATTAGTCTTAATAATATTTAAAGTGCTATATATATCTTGGATAATATTGACTGGATTAGAGATATCATCTCAATTAATTGTGACTTGCAATAGCTAATCAGAGAATTGCAATTAATTATAACAGTCAATCAGAGAATTGTGATCAAGTTGCAATGACATCTTTAGACTGGATTATTTAATAATATACTAGATTCTCTAAAATAAATTTTGAGCTAATTTAATTCTTTTATAATATTTATAAAGAGATCTATATGTGCATATCTATATCTTTCTCTTCTAAATTATATAAACTTGAAGAGCTTCTTTGAGAAGAAATAACCTTGAATCTATATCTTAAATTTTGAATTTATTTTTCTGATTTTTATAATTACTTTTCTATATTATCAATATAAAATATCTTATCTCAGATTTTCTTTTTAACTTTATATAAACTTCTTTTAAGAGATAATATTTCTAATCTTAATTCTGTCTTTTCTTTTTCCAATGTATTCTCAAGCTATTCTAGTTTTTTATTAAGAGATTGAATTTCTTTCTCATATTTGATATATTTATATTCCAGATTCTTTATATATTTTTTATTAAATTTATTAATTAAAACTTTATTAAATAACTCATTGCTCAAAGCTTAATCTATTTGTTTCAGTTTCAATTCTTAATCAGATGCTAATTTATAAGATATTATATTAGGACATAATTAATAAAATATTATAATTATTTTTTATGACATATTATATTAACTTATCTTCTAACTTTATTAAAATATAATATATTATTAGAATAGAATACATTGAAAATGATCAAACTGAGCAAATCTATTATCAGAATCAATTCTAATAATAAATTAGCTTTAATTTGCAAGTTATTATTCTATCAATTCACAGATTATAATTCTAATATTCAAAAATTATATAAAGTTCTCAAGAAGAAAGAATATTAATTTCTATTTAAAAAAGTTTAAGAGTGACTTATAAAATATAATGAATAACAAAAATATATTCTATCACTAAAAAATACTTTACAGATTAGTTATAAGAAAATTTCATATTCAAATTATATATATATATATGATTTTTTATTTCTTACTTATAATTATTACAAAGATAAAAAATATATAGTAGTATTAAATATAATAAATATGAATGACTAGTTTAAAGCTTTAGTTTTACTTATATCAAAAAAATATAGTGAAGTTATCAAAGTATTTAGAAATATTTATGATAATTCAAATAATTTTCTTATATATCCAACTCTTTTGCAATATGATAATAAATCAGAGTTTAAAAATCAGTAAGTCAATTAATAGAAGAATATATTGTAATATTTCAAGTAATTAATATATATTCTTATCAGAAACTTGTTCTCATAAAAAGACTTAATAAAACTCTAGTAAAAATACTTTATAAAATTCAATATGCTATAGAATTAATATTTAAAAATTCTAAATTAATAAGAGAGTGAATTAAGTATTTGCCAGAAGTTATTAATTACCTAAATAATTTATCTAACATATCTTATTAAAGCTCTTGGATTAAAGAAATAAAGATTAGCATCTATAAAAGTAATTAAGTTAGAAAAAAAGAAATCTAGATCATCTACAAATATAAGTATCCTATTGGAAGAGATAAGAAAATAAGTTAAAAAAGAGAGTTAATATTTATTATCTGCTTGTTAATATAGAATAAGAAGGAAGTATGAAAAATTAAAGATATGCAACTGATCTAATATTTTCATTTTCTATTTATAAAATTTGCAAAATCATAATAATGAAAAATGAATCAGTTTTATATTATCTTGGAAGTAATAATGATGAATATGCTCCAAAATGAGCATTTGTATATGAAGAATTAATGCCAATTGATCTCAAAAAACTTCAGTATCCACTTCAGAATACATTAGAAGAAAATACTTATTCCAGATCTGTTAATTTCATTCATATTATTAATAAAATGGCTAAAGCCATTGCATATACTAAGAAGTATGGCAGAAAATGTCTTTATGAAACTGGTCAAATAAATGATTTCAATATATATCTCTGGTTTTGTGAAAACAGAAAGTATCAGTAAAAATATTCATATCCATTAATAGCTATAAAATTTGAGTGATTAATTCAAATTATGATTATCCTTGTTCTTTAACTTGATGTGAATTTAGTTGTGATGGTTACAACTTTTCATCAGGTTATAACTTTTCATCAGGCAGCAACTTTTTATTGGGTAGCAGCTTTTCATCAGGTTGTGGCTGTTCATCTTTTTCAGTAGTATTAGTTGTTGTTGTCATCATTGTGGTGATATCTAATTTGTTCACATACCTGTGAAAGAAATGTAAAATTTATTTTTGAGGATTTGTTAGGTAAGAAATTCTCACCCTGTTCTGATTCATTTTTGAAAGGCTTGCGTTTGGACGGATATAATAAAGAATTACAATTAGCTTTTGAATTCCAAGAATCCCAGCACTATAGTCTTAATTCAATGTTCCATAGGGAAGGTATAGATCTGATCGAAGTGTCATATACAAGTGATTTATTTCCATATATAAAAAGTAAATTACAAGATAGAGGTTATTTATTACATAAAGAATAAATTATAATATAATATCAGTCTTAAAAAATGAAACCTATGCTCATGTTAGTATATAATATAAACGAGATTAAAAATGTGGAAAAAAATAATGGGCATGAAGCTGGACCCCGATGGCCTTTTAAAATCCTAGTTTCAAGATGAAGTAATTCAGAAAAAACAAATATGATCATTAATCTCTTGCTTGGAGACAAACTTTGTTGGATGTTTAACGGGAAAAAAGGAGAAAATCGCTATATTAAAAACAATGATCTTGTTCTTTTCAGTCATTATCTCAAAGAGCCAAAATACTTATATCTTCACGATTGTTATCAGATAATTGCTAATAGCCCAAAGCCATTTTATGAAAATATTACATTTTGGGCAATGATAAAATTTTAAAGGTAGATGAATTCTCTCCATCAAGAAGTACAGTAGCCATCTATGTAGTAAATCTAAGAAGGTTCAAGATAAAATTATTCCTTATTTTACTGAAGGGCGTCACTCTAATATTAGTTCTATATATAACACAATCATTTTTCGATTGCCCATCAATAATAATTAAAAATCTGGATTACATTGTACTCTTTAATGGGAGTTGCAATACAGATGACCTTACAAGAATTCTTCGTCGATATGTTATTGATTGGCATAATGTCTTTAAAATTATTGATAAATTTTTACATGTAGGGAATTTATTGTTATTGATTTAACCAGAGAAAAAGACGATCTATTATTTATACGTGCTGGCTGGGACAAAGCATTTGATCTTTCTAATAAGTAGAACGAGATTCATGATGTTGAAATAATAATTATTTTTTCCATTATTTATTAATATATACTCGGCTTGGATCGAAAATAACGCAGGGCGTTTCGAGTCTTATTTCGAGAGGAATATTGCTTGTCGACAACGGTAAAGTTGATTTTTGTTCTTTATTAAGCCTACGTTTTTTATTATAGCGGGCATTACGTGACAATTTCTTGGATGGTTTCTCTTGCGACATATTGATATGGAAAAAATGCTAAGGTATTTTATTAGCGTGAGCCTACGGTTAAGAAACAAAAACGAAAGCAATACTATCCGACGAGCCGTTAGAAATAATAAAATTCCTAGAGCCGATGTCCTGCTCAAATCGAATAGCGTTCACTTTAGTGGAAAAAAGAAAGAAGCGTGGGAGTAGAAAGTGAATGAACATCAATTAGGTACGTATTAATATTACGATTGCCAATTGGCCAAAAATACGCCAATAACGATTTATATGTAATGCAAGAAATAATTTCCCTTCACATGCTACTTTTAACCAGAAATATTAAAGGAAAGACATGTGGATCGAAATAATCATGGAGCTGTATCAAGTTCTAGGCTTATGAGTCTAGGATGTTTGGCAATGTGAAGAAACTTCACGTCTATCACATGATACTGTGATCGATCCTGTAATTCGGCTTAATATTTTTACCATTTCACAGTAAGTATAAATAAACTATCATTGATACCTTACACCGCTATGGCATCCCAACAATCCATCACCCAATTGCTATTAAATCTCATCCACAAACGAGCACCCGAAAATTTTCCCAATGGACCTCCTCAAGAAGCCGAACCTTGTCTAATTTGCAAGAAAGAAATCCTGGAATCACTCGCTTTTTTTAAATGTTTCATGTAGAATGTTGCCGTAGACCTTTGTTTCGTTCAACACGATGTCCAGAGTGCCACAACTTTATCAACGAAAAAATTGGCATAAATGAAACACGAAAAGAAGAAAAGCTGTTAGTATTTTTGCGTGAGCTACAGGGTGATATAATGGATGAAAATGATGAATAAATGACCCAGGAATCTCCTAGCAGATTATCAGCATCGGGGAATCTTCGTAATGTGTGCCGAAAACTTGGAAAAAATGAATCTCAGAGCATCTATTGTTTTTTTGAATTTGGTAAAGCGATTGTAATTCGACTCAATGAACTATTAGAGAAGGGGCAAAAGAAACCTCGAGAGAAGCTAAACCAAGAAGTCCACAAATATTTTCCTGATGGTACTTCTCTCATCTTGGTAAAGAAGAAAATGGAAAAGGCCCGAAAAATATGACCTTTTTAGTGTAATTGGCGAAAGTAAGATTCGGAGAGTTCGTTCATTTTCCATTGATTCTATCTCGTCGTTTACAATAGATGAACTTAACTATATAAAATGGTGTATGTGAGGTAGTGTCCTTTTTTTCTCATATATTCGAAAAAAATATATAGTTATCTGGTTATTAATAACTGCAATGCATTTTCATTTACTTTCTTTAAAGGGTAATCAGGCTTCGAGGGACTTACAGAGACACGAGAAAGCGGAATTTAGGGCGCCGTCAATTATGCCACGTTACTTTTATGTCATAGTTCGATATTTTTATGATGCATCATAATAGACTTTGTGCACAGACATAGTCTAATCTTATACCAACCCAACCTAATATGTCAATACTAATATGTCAAATAGAATTTCGTATTCAAATGTCTGGCCAGACAATACATAATAAAGATCTTTCATTTTTATATTTTTATATGGGTCTTGAGAATGTCTAGACAGTGACTACAAAACATAAATGCGTAATCATTATCATAAAAAGAAAAATAAAAGTAAATTCGGAGGAAATTACATAAAAATTAATTATCGGAAAAAAAGATCATTTAGGTCTGATTGCTTTATTAATCGATGGCTTGCTCACGCTAATACAATATAAAATACATGTGAAGTGGGATAACTATCTACCCATTATTTTTTGGTAATTTTTTTAATCCTAGCCCTCTTACTAGCTGGGGAATTATCGACACTAATTCGGTTTTTTAATAACCCAACAATAACTCTTAACATCCCCTTTTTTGATTGATTCGATATCTTCTTTCAATGCTGTTTTAGAGAGATTTATCTGATATTCGCTTTTACTCGTACAATAGAGTCCATCGGTAGCAAAAACGATGAAATGCCATTCCGTAGCTAAAAAATAAAATTTTAAATCAGTTGTAGCATAGTCAAAATTTCTATTGCGGGAATTATAATATATAAATACCTGTAGATACTATCCCGTAAAGATAGTCATAATCGTAATCTCGAAATGCATCATCAGCCGTACGTTTCTTTTTATTGGTGTGATACGCATTTTCTAATTGCATTATATTCTGGAGGTAACCGATTTCGACATTTCGAGGCTTTCCCTCAGCTATGCACATAAGATCCTCGTTTCCTTTTATTAAAAAATCGACACGACCAGATGCCTCCTCACCGGAAACTGCTTTTTGATATGATATGTAGATTTTTCTTCTTTGGTAAGTCGTCGAACGATAGCCAGAGATGCGTTTAATATCGACGTAATAAATACACAACGTGTGGCTTCATTGGTACCATCTTGCATTGTTTCCAGATTCGAAAGTCTCAATGTAATTTCATTCATACACTGCTCGAGTGCTTTATCGTCATCATCAATTTCCTTGAAAACTATATAATAGAAGCAACGAATTATTATATGTCTGGAATTTGATTGTAAATTTTGCCAAGAAATTTCAGCGAACTATTCTGATGAAAAGTTCGCCCAAATTATGCCAAGAAAAAAATAACACATACCCGGATTAAATTGTTTGATGCGTGTAATATCCTCGCCGTTTACTTTGTATTTAAGGAGCACGTCTTTTAATTCTTCCAACGTTTTATATGACGAGAAACTATGTATCTTTTATTCTGTAAGCTCCTCAGCGAAATCTGAAAGTCTTTTGCTGGTCCCAATGCAAAACCAATACTAAGGAATTCATCTTTTGTTGTCTTAAAAAAGTCACGACCGGAAATTTTTTGTTTGCGTAAAATTGATAAATCATCATTATCGAGATCCAAATCTTCCCGCCTCTGTAAATAGTCGATAAGTTCTTCCGTTTTATATTTCTTGATAACGTCCGCCATCGTGCGAGTTGACCTTTCTTCCGTCAAAGTAGAGGATGTAGAAGCCGGTGAGGAAGGTGAAGAAGCGCTGGGTGAAGACATGTTATTTATCTGGTTTATGTATCTCGCTAATAAAAGCTAGGTAATGCGATGCAAGAAAAATTTTATCGTATCTGATTTTGGATAATCAGTGGTTTATATACATGCAATTGCGCATGTTCCACGAACTTCTATGCCGATCCGAAATTTTATGCAAGAATCTCTTTTATATTAGACGTTTATGTAGTATACTGTATTTTTTGCGCATTTACTAATTTTCACCCGAAGTTTCTATTGGTCAGAGGAGATCCCAATCTCCGATTGGGTGAAATTGATGGCGCCACTTATCATGTGGATCAGAGTGGCTAGTAAAATGAGTTATGCAGTGTAAAGTGTAAATTTATTAAAGTATGTAAAGCAAAATAAAGATTTCAAAATCTATTTTGTCTTTTAAATCCCATTCTTGATGTTACATTAGAGCTTTTTAGCTCATTATCACTAGCAACTTTTAGCATAGCTTCAGTCTTTGTAATTCTAATTCTTTTCATTTAGATAGCTTGTTAAATAGTTAACCATAAATTATAAATATCTTGTTTCTTCTTATTCTTTCATTTTGTAGTAATTACTTCAAACTCTTCTTGTAACTTCTTAAACTCCATATCCTTATCATTTATCTTAGTATTCTCATTATTTATCTTGATAATTTCATTATTGATCTTAATAGTCTCACTTAGTGATAAGAGTCACAACTAGTCATAATTCTATTACAATTCTCTAATTGGCTAGTGCAACTCTGTTACAATTCTTTAATTAGCTGCCACAAGCCATAACTAGTTGAGAAATCATCTTTAGTCTCATTATTTATTTCAAGAATCTTGATAATTTCATCAATTATCTTTTTGATCTTAGTGATCACATCATTTATCTCAGTAATTTGATATTAGATATGCTAGTTATTCTCTATACTATTATCATGAACTCAAAATTGATTCAGAATAGTAAAGATATATTTATATAGTAATTGCCATACTTGGAAATTATAACAAGAGCAGATATATGAAGTAATATCTAAATTATCTGTAAGATTTCTTTTTCAAATAGAATATTCTATATTATTATTTATTATTGAATGCATTATCTAAGTATTTGAATTAAGTTTATAAATATTATTTTTATTAATATATATAGTTCTTATAATCTTCCAGATTTATTATTATTATTGCTATAGATTTATTCTTTCAATTTTTAAGTTATTTAAAAAAACTGAGAAATCTAAGTCTTAAAATATAATTTCTATAAGTAAATATATTTCACTATTCAACTATTATCCTAATTATTCTTTTATATATATGTATTTTAATTCATGATGAAATATCTTAATTAGATTATTTGTATCTATCATATCTCTAGCAATTTCTCTTAAATATACCATTTATTTCTCATATTTTAGCTTTTAATATTTAAAATAATTAGCAAAGTTATTTATCATCTTATTATCTATTTTTATTATTTATCAATTATTTCTATAACTTATCTTTATGCTTCATTATCATTCCAATTTTTTGTTTTTATTAATTATTAAAGATCTTTTCAAATAATTATTTTATATGAATTAGTATTTATACTATTATGATTTTTCATTTTTTACATCAAGATCTCAGTATATGAAAATAGTATAGTAAAACTATACTATTAGAAAAGCACTTCTCAACTTCTTTAATTTCTTCTCCTATATTATCAATCATAAAAATATCTGAACTTTATTTCTTATATTTGGCTTTTAAGAAATCAAGCCATTTTTTTTAATATAATAAATTGCTTGAATTTGTTAATAAGAAATATAATCAGATATTTACTTTCTGTTATTAAATATTATATAAAAAGTATAAAAAGATAATATTCATATTAATTTAATTTATATGTACTATCTAGATATATAATTCTTGTTAGTTGTATTAATTTCTTTTGCTTTTCTATTTGAAAAGTAAATATGAATCCTATATCAATTATTTTATTATCATACTTAAATAAATAATAACTATTTATAATAATTAATTTTATCTATCATTTATTTAGAGATTTTAACTTGATAAAAATATATTTTTATTATATCATATACAATTATATAAATATTATCTTTTGTTATCAGTTTATCCTGCAATAACTAAATGTTCAAAGATTTTTTATTATTATAATCTTCTCTTTTTAATAACTGTATCTAATTCTAAAGTTCAACTACTTAATGTTACAAGAACTATTATATATTATAAGTATCAAGTCTCTTTAAAGTATGTTGCTAAATAAATTGTTAAATATTTTCAGAAAAAGAAAGTATATACAAGTCTAATAATTAATTAGAATAATAATTATTATATTTATAGTAGTATCTTAAGATTATTGTTAAAGAATTAATAGAAAACACAACTTGAATATAACTTTTATATCCATATTTTTTTGTTTTTTTTGTGCAAATTATAATTTCTTGCAGGAATTTTTTTTAGTAATACACTTATACATTTTATAATAATAATACTACTATTATTTTGTCCATTTATTTTTATTTCTCATATTAAACTATTTTAATGTTCATATAAAATATAGTTGAGTTCTGCTTTCCTGAGATTTTTAATTTATTTCTTATATTCTGCTATTAGAAAAGAATAGATTTTGACTCTCTCTATTTCTCATAATTCTTCATTCATTATATTATCATCATTTACTATCTTTCATATCTAGCTAACTTTATCTGTCATATCCAGAATATAATCAAGCATATTATCAAGCTCATTATTACTAATATCTATATCAACTGCTTCATTAATATTAAAAATTACTTCAATATCAAGTGACATATTAGTCTTTTTGGTATTAATAATTATAGATAATAATGATATAATAATTTTTTAGGATATGTAAAAAAAAATTTCAGATATATTATATTAATTAATATATCAGTAATCATTTTAGGAATTTTTTACAAGAATTATTTATATAACTATAATGGGTAATAAATATTATTCTTTTCTTTCTCTTTCTTTATTAATTCTTAATTATCATTATAATTTATATATTTTCCTTTTTATAAACATATAAATATCATGTTATTTTACTTTATTAATGAGAAGATAATAATATTATAGTAATATTTGATAAGTTATATCATTTCTTAATATATTCACTATAACAATTTTGATTGGATTATCTTTCTTTAGATCTTTTTTAATTTAGAACTTTATTTTGCACTATCTGCATAACAGATTAGCTTTGTATTATATTTTTAAGAAGATTATTTTCACTCTGGATATACAGATGATCATTATGTATTTAATACATCTAGATTTAGCACATTGCTACTCAGATGATCACCATATGTATCACAATTATTAATTTAGACTATTAATATTTTTAATTACTTTTATTATTAATATTTCTTTATAATTTTAT